GCGTGGCGTTTGTAGCTCAACTGGTAGAGCACTGGCTTCGCGTTAAGGCCTTACCTACTATGTGAGTTTAAATCCCGCCTAATTCCGCGAGTTTTTTTTCATAATTGGGTCAATTAAAAGATAGCATATCGTTCTGGAGGCCGTGTAAGCACCCAAAACTAACCGCGCTATCATCATCATCATCATCATCATCATCATCATCCAATACTCGTCTATCAACCAATAGGCACACATCAATACACAAAAAGCGGCGTAGGACAACCGTTCTGATGGTCTGAACAAAGACGGTCAGTTAAGACAGGTAAAAAAGACGAAGGCCGTTCGTTTCGCCAAAATTACGGCCCTATTCGCCTGAGCTTTCGAAGTTTTACTGGAGTCCATCGTCAGAGATAAAAACGGCAACGAAAGAAGCAACAGTTACGGCAGGGGACCTAACTTACGATTGAAATTGGAGTTGGACGTTTAGACTATGTTTGGTCTCGTTATTTCCATCTGATACGTGGGCAAAAACTAAATCTGCACATAAATAGAGGCCTTTCGAAAGGCAAATGTTTTCCATCGTCGGCCAGATCGCAGCTCGTCAGGCCCAAGTAAAAAATTGCCAACGCAAGCGAAAAATACGAGCCCCAGGAGGCAGTTGAGAAGATTTGAGCGCGCTCACTGACGTTTAGGTTTCATACTCCAACGCATTGTCAAGTAGCTATGCGAGGTACGGGTCAGTCCTATACTGCTGCAGTCCCTTGTAAATCGATAATCCCTATCTGATGCTGGCGTTCTGATGAGGGGTTGGAGTAGGAATCCGAAATGTCTGGTTTCCGCGTTCCTGTCTAATTTGTCTTTCTCCTAACCTTGAGACAATTTTACAGTCGGGGCATCAAAAAAGGCATGCAAGCAGAGCGTGAGATGACTGACCGGGTAGCCAGATGCTGCATAAACATCTTCTCAAACAGCACTGTGGCACTCTTCTCCTCCACTGGCATATACGCGTTGATGATGACGTGGTTGTCCAGCAGGGCTTGTTGCAGCGTCACCTCGCGCAGGGTGGCATTCTGCTCTTGCAAGTTGTCCAGTTGGCCACGACTGATATAGGCAATGAGGATGTTACCTAGACGGAGGAGGAAGAAGAGGAGCGGAGTGAGTGACGCGAGAGGGACACGTCAAGAGGAAGAGGACTGTGGGGAAGAAAGCAGCTCCTTTCCTCTGTGAAATGAGGCGAGAAGGAAGCAGCCGGGGAGGGAGGGGGAGGAAGAGCGCGAACGGCAAGGAGGGGGAAAAGGGGGACTCTTAAGTTGCCCCCCCCCCTCAACAGCTCCAAAAGTGATACATCCGACTAAATGATATTAAAGGCTGGTTCCGCGCAGCGCACTAGGCTGACAAGCCCCTCTCCTCGCCTACTTTCTGAAAAGAACTGTGTGTGATAACTAGACGACGAGGATCACGAAAGAAACATCACCCTGCTTTCATTGGACGAAGTCAACCGGGAGAGGACGTCCATCAAACCTGCCGCCTCAGCTAGAAGACGAAGTAAGGCAGGCCTGAGACCGAGTGAAGCAATAAAACGTAGCCAAAATTCTTACACCCTCGGGCGGTGACGGTTTCAAAAGATCATTTACTGAACAGAGCCTTGTGTGAGAATTGCGCGTGAATTTGATTATCATAGGAGGGACTTGCGCCGCATCCACCTCACTATCTCCTCCCATACTCAAACACGGAACAAGGTCTGGACAGCTGAAGATGGACCGGTGCGTAGTGAATAACCAGGCATTCGTCACATCAATGCTTGTTTTTCCATCTACCGACATCTGCA